ATCCCCGTATTCTGCTCCCATTTTATTTGTGGGTAAAAAGGACGGGACTCTGCGTATGTGCATAGATTATAGGGGTTTAAATGCGACCACCGTTAAAAATCGCTATCCTATCCCACGGGTCGATGATCTACTGGATAGACTGCGTGGCTCGGCTTTCTTTAGCTCTATTGACCTACAGCAGGGGTACAATCAAATCCGTATTGCTGAATCAGATATTCCGAAAACTGCATTTCGTACGCCCTCTGGTCATTACGAGTATACTGTGCTGAGCTTCGGCTTGACGAACGCTTGAGGAGCGTTCGTCAAGCTCCTGCCACGTTCCAAGCCCTGATGGACCGAACCTTTCGGCCCTACATAGACCGTTTTGTCGTTTGCTACCTAGACGATATCCTGGTTTATTCAAAGACACGTGAAGAGCACCTGGAGCATTTTGCGGCGTGAGCAACTGTTTGCCAAGCGTTCTAAGTGCCACTGGGCCCAGCCTCAGGTCGAATACCTTGGTCACATCGTCTCCAAGGATGGCATCCGCATGGACCCCCGTAAGACTGCTTCTGTACGGAACTGGCCTACCCCGACCAATTTACAAGAACTAAGGAAGTTCTTGGGGCTGACGAACTACTTCCGTAAGTTCATCGAACGCTATGCCATTATTGCCGCACCTCTGACAAATCTGACACGTAAAGGGGCTTTTGTATCTCCTGACTGCTGGGGTCCTGACTGCCAGCAAGCGTTCGATACACTTAAGCGTGTTGTCTCTGAAGACATCATTCTGCGTTTCCCGGACTACTCCCAACCTTTCCGTGTGGAGGTCGTAACTGATGCGTCCTTGCATGGTACGGGAGCAGTACTGCTGCAAAACGGGAGACCAATTGCTTTTACTAGTAAGAAGTTCTCGGGGGCTGAAACCCGTTATACCACTGGGGAACAAGAACTTCTTGCTGTACTGCACGCGCTTAAGGAGTTGCGGTGTTATCTGGAGGGTCGGCCGTTCACCCTCAAAACCGACCACAAACCCCTAACGTTTCTGCAAGGCGTGCCTACCCTTAACCGTCGTCAAGCCCGGTGGATGGAATACCTTAGCCGGTTTGACTTTACATGGGAATACCTGCAAGGCATCCTTAACGTTGCTGATGCCTTAAGTCGGCACCCTTGTCTGCATGCAGCCATTCTGTCAGTCGTTACACGCAACCATGCTGCAGCACCCGTTGTGCCCTCTGAACTTGTGCAACGACTTCGAGCTGCCTATGCCACGGATCCCTGGTTTTCCGATAACCACAATACTGGCCATTTAACCCGTAACAGTGGCCTTTGGATCCGCACTGAGGGTACTTTTCGACAGGTTGTCGTTCCGAATGATGACTTGCTGCGTCATGATCTCCTGTCACGTTTTCATGACGACCCGCTGGCTGGGCACCCTGGCTGCACCCGTCTGGTCGAGGTTCTCCGTCGTCAATTCTGGTGGCCTCGGATGGCTAAGGACGCCGAGAACTATGTCCAGAACTGTGAGCTGTGCCAACGCAATAAAGTCCTGTCTGGTAAGCCCCACGGCCTCCTGTGTCCCTTGCCTGTGCCGGCCGCCCCTTGGGAAAGTGTTACCATGGACTTTATTGTAGCTTTGCCCAAAACTGAGGGGGGATTCGATGCCGTTTTGGTCATGGTAGACCGACTCACGAAAATGGTGCACCTGGCACCTACGGTATCATCCTGCACAGCTGAGCAAACTGCACGTCTGTTCTTTGACAACATAGTGCGTTTGCATGGTGTCCCCAAGAACGTTGTGACCGACCGCGGATCGCAATTTGCCAGCAGATTTTGGGGCACCCTGGGTGATCTGTTAGGCATGCGTGTTAACCTGAGCACCGCCTATCACCCACAGACTGATGGACAGACAGAACGTACGAATCACACTCTTGGCGATATGTTGCACAATTATGCCGGATGTACGCCTTCTGTCTGGGACACATACCTAACTGCTGCTGAATTCGCGATTAATAATGCTGTGAATCGCACGACTGGCAAAAGTCCGTTTTTCCTGAATTACAGATACAACCCTGCCTTGCCTGTTTGGCGGGAGTTGGACGTCAACTTGCCTGCAGCAAAGACGTTTGCCAAGTCCATTGTGTCCCGACTGACTGACGCTAAATCTTGCCTTGAAGCTGCACAGCAACGTACGGCGGACTACTTTAACAAATCCCGACGTGCCATCACCTTCTCGCAGGGCCAGTTGGTGATGCTGAGCACTAAGAACCTGAGGTCTCTAGCGGATGGTTCTCGTAAGCTTTTACCTCGTTGGGTGGGACCATTTCCTGTCGTTCGCATGGTTGGGTCTACTGCAGTCGAGCTGCAACTACCACCTGACATGCGCATCCATCCCACATTCCATGTCTCTCTAGTCCGACCTTTCCGTACTACTGACTCTGCTGCTGCGCTTCAGCCAAAACCTGCTCCTACGGTCACGGAGCCAGGACCAGTTACTTGGCTTTCAGGCAAGCAGACATTTTACGCGGTTGAACGGATACTGGATTACCGTTCCCGAAAAGTAGGCAGAAACCGCCGCCGTAAGCGCACTGTGCATGAGTATCTTGTCAAATGGGCTGGGTACTCGGCTGAGCACAACAGTTGGGAACCAGAAGCTAACTTTACCCCTGACCTAAAACCTCTGCTGGAAGAAGCACGGCAACGAGCACGGGCAAGGTAAGATTTGCGGGTTAAAGGTAATTGTTTTAACTCCCGCGCGTTTTGGCCCGGTTCTGCTCTGCCAGTTTCTTGCCATGCATCGAGGATGCTGCATCTAGAGGGGGGATAGTTGTTGTATTCCGCTTCTTAAATCTGGGTCCAAACTGATACACTTTTCTGTCTAATTTTTCCTTTCTCGCTCGGCGCGGTTACTGGACAAGTTCGCTGGAACTAACTGAATTCCAACTGCCTATTTTGCCGCTTTTCTGTCAGATCTTTATGGCTCCGACCTCTGGGTCAGACGGCGAGCGGGAAGCTGTCATGGATGCCAACAAGTAAACGCCGCCTCAGGCGGAAGTCCATACTTGCAGAAGTATGGGCGGGGGTCGTAGCACAGGCTACGACTGGGACGCTGGTCCCTGGCTCGCGGAGCCCCGTCATCGATTGGAAGCATGGATCAACGGTACGCCATTCCGGACTGGACCGCGCCTTTTCGGAATTGGCTGTACGATTCATGGGATGGCTGCATCCTCCGCTATTTAAGCGGGCGAAACTCTTCCAAATCGGTGTCTTCCGACGCCACCATCCAGTTGTGGTTTAGTAAGATACAACACAGTGCTTTTGGAAAAGAGGTTTAGACCTTGCCACCCCGGCAAGCCAGAAACTAGTTTCGGTCGCCAAACTTACTCATCTTTTGTATTTTCAAAGCATACACACGCGTGATACTTAAGAATACGAGAATTGTTAACAGTTTAATACTTGTGGAATTTCGTAGGCGTTTGCGGTGCAACTGGCGCGAATAGGAGGTCTTACTAGCAGGTCTTAATGACGAGGGGTGCCTGACGGCGTTGCATGGACTCCATCGATGCATGTGCCTCGGCATGAAGGGTGAATACAAAACGGTTCATATGCACAGACCTCATAGTTTGCAGCATTTTAAGAAAGGTCAAAGGTGTTTCGCACGCAGCAGCTAGTGCAGCTTTGGCCCGAACACTGTATACACGAGTGGCCTACATAAAGGCATACCTTTATACAACGGATTATTAGGCTCTCACAGCTTTGCATGCGTACACATGGTAACCTATAGCCTAAAGGCCTATAGACCATGCTGTATACAACAGATCGCCTATAGGTGTGATGTATACGAGTGATATACGCGAAATCACCTATACGCCACATATTTCGCGGTCCTACATATTAGGCGATGGCCCGACCTATAGGTGACCTCCAATTTTACTGACGTCGGCCTGGGCGGGTCAAATGCTGCAGATCAGCAGACAGGCAGGTTGCAATGTCACACTCACTGCTCTGCTGCAATTAATAACACGCCGCAGTCTTCCTGATGACAAATGGATACCGAATGTGTTGGGAGTCAACACTCAAATACGTGAGGATCAATATGGCCAATATGTGGCCGGGTGCTTTATCTCGACTTTATCAGAAAAGCACCGTCGGTGGATGCAGATCCCGTTATATACCAAGGATACTAAGCAGACATCTCCCTCGGCTTAGGTTGTGGGCATCTCTTTGAGAATTCATCGAACCATTTTTATATCCGATATTCTCAGCTCCATTAAGAAGGGTGGTAAAGATGATAACACCAGCCATGGATCTTCTGAGAGTGATGACGATAGAAAACCGAGGTTATCTGTGAACTCAGAAGAGTTGGTTGTGTGTGTTGGTACGACATGTAATGCCAGTTAAGGAGGTCGCTCTGGTGTGTTAAAAGGGTATTTTCGGGTTCCGTAGCTACATTAGGTCGCTGCTGCTGTGAGGCGTTATAACCTAATTAGGTGCCCAGGCCTAGTGGATTGCCTCGCGGTAGCTGATGGCCTCCGCCTAAACCTACCGAAGGAAGACTTATTTCAATTGCTTGCGGGTACCCTTTGTAACGTTTGATGATTTCTCATAAAAGCAAGAAATTTTCATGTAAAATAGGACGATATATGGTTGCTTGCTTGATGGATAACATTCTTAGCCCGCCGCCCATGGTGGGATGGCAAGCAATTCATGCAGGTCGATTGGGAACGAAGGTTGTATGAAGAGTGGCTTTGCATGTAGTTAGGTGTGTACTAAGCGTTGGAAAGGTACGGCTTGGTGCTTGCTTGATTAGGCAGGTGGGCAGTTGCATACATATTTAATCAGTTGCATACATATTTAATCAAGCAATATAAAGAAAAACAGGACAATCCAGGAAAAGTATGTAAATGATAAGGTCAGCCACGAAGCCGGCATCGCTGCATGGCAAACCAGTGTGCGCTACACACCTTCATTGCCAGCGGCCACCACCACTATC